GGCTGATCCATGTTCCATCCCCGGCATCCCTTAGGGTCCCCTGAGCACCACTGGGAGTGATCCCAGAGCACTGAGCCACGAGTCAGCCCTGAGCATTGCCAAGTGTGGTCCACCCCAAAAATCAAACTAAGGGGCTGGAGCAGTAGCACAGCGGGGTAGGGCATTCGGCTGTGCACACGGCCAACCTGGCTCGATTCCCAGCATCCCATAGGGTCCCTGAGCACGGCCAGGAATAAATCCTGAGTTCATGAGCCAGGAGTAACCTCTGAGCATCGCTGGGTGTGACCCAAAAAGCAAAAAATAAATAAATAAAATCAAACTAAAAAAGTGAACTGCCTCCTCTAGCCAGACCCTAAGCCTGTCCCCGGGGCTCTGTGCTGACCACCAGGCCACCCTGCCATCTCCTTCCCCTCTCCTCGGCCTCCAGCCCTGCCGCCTTCCTCCCATCTCCATCCTTCCCATCCCTGCAGCCTGGATGTTTCTACGGCTCTGGGGGCCCGCGGAGCGCCAAGTGTGGTTTCTGAGCCACTAATTAAATGCACAGAGAGAAAAAAAAATCACTGTCGCTTATAAACCGGGCTGACCCTTCCCTCCCACCCACCCCCCTCCCCGACATCCCCAGAGATGTCGCAGTGGAGCTTGCCGGAAGCTGTTCCCAAGATTAGCTCATCAACAACTCCATAGACAGCCCCCCCGGGACGCAGCACACCTCACAGTGACCCGCGCGCACACGTCGGAGCATTTTTCTTTCTGTAACTAGGAATGAGAAACACTTTTCCTGTTCGTTTTTATTTTTTTTCCGGGGGGCACACTCAGTGGTGCTCGGGGAACACTCCTGGCTCTGCGTTCCAGGATCACTCCTGGTGAGGCTTGGGGGGGGGACCCTATGAGATGTTGGGAATCGAACCCGGTGCAAAGAAGAAGCCCTCTCCACTGTGCTCTCTCTCCGGCCCCAGCAGGCAGCTTTGTCTGACCCACTGACCCTGAACCCCAAAGTTCCCATCAGTCCCGCAGAAGGGGCCGACAGTTCCTCTACATTTCATACACTGCATCAGGCCTGACGCCGGCAATGTCAGTGGTCCCCACCCTGGCCATGTGTCACACGGGGAGGCGGAGGCAGAGATGCACATGGCCATGGGGACCAGACGCAGGTGCCAGCAAGCCCAGGCCAAGGTTCTACCAGGCAGCCAGGCGGACCCCAGAGAAGGTGATCCCCACTGGTCATTCCCGAAGAGCCGGTCTCTGGCACCTCCACCCTCCCATACCCAGCAAACACAGCACACTCCTTGCCGGCAGGAGGGGCCTCGGCCCTCTGCCTCTGTGCAAACAGCTCAGGTTGTTTTGAACCCACCGGGTGGGCGGCAGCTGCAAGAACTGACCCTGAAGTAAGAGGTCGGGGTGGAGCGCCCCATTCAGAAGAGAAACACGGCACTGGGAAGGAAGACAGGGGAAGGGAGGGGCGGGAAGGAGGGAGGGAGAAAGGAGAGAAAAGAAGGGGGAGGTATGAAGGGGGAAAGTAGGAAAGAAGGGAGGGAGGGAAGGATGAAAGGAGGGAGGGAAGGAAGGAACAAGGGAAGAAGGAGGGAGGGGGAAAGAAGGAGGGAAGGAAGGAAGAAGAGTAGAAGGAAGGAGGGAGGAGGGGTGGAAGGAAGGAAGGAAGGAAGGAAGGAAGGAAGGAAGGAGGGAGGGAGGGAGGGAGGGAGGGAGGGAGGGAAGGAAGAGTAAAAGGAGGGAAGGAGGGAGGGACGGATGGATGAGAGAGGAGGGAGGATGGAAGGAAGGAAGGAAGGAAGGAAGGAAGGAAGGAAGGAAGGAAGGAAGGGAAGGAAGGGAAGGAAGAAAAGTAGAAGGAAGGAGGGAAGGAAGAGGGGAGAAGGAAGGAAGGGAGGGAGGGAGGGAGGGAGGGAGGGAGGGAGGGAGGGAGACAAGCCAACAGTCTGCTGGGACAGATGCCTGACACCTTTGGACATCTTTCAGCGACAGCTGAAGAGAGGACAGGGAAGTCACCCAAACACTAAGTGGAACAGTGTGTGTGTGTGTGTGTGTGTGTGTGTGCGTGCCTGTGTGTGCACGCGCCTGTGTGTGCGCGCGCCTGTGTGTGCGCACATGTGTGGCAGCAGTGGCTGCCTGCAGTTGGGACCAGGGGTGTCCTGGGGAGAAGAGGCCATAGCTCCAGTCCCCACCCAGCTCAGGCCTGAGTTACCCTCAGGCACCAAGTATCCAAACGGGGTGGGGGGCGGGGGGCCCTGGGTGGGAGTCCGCCCAGCCCATGGCAGCTGCTAAGTTGTGGCTACCATGGCCAGGTCACTGAGAGGGGCCCGGCACAGCCCACCCGCCAGAGTTGCTGTGATGACCGAGGTTCCCAGGGTACGAGGCTGACAACACCCCCGCTGGATTGGGCCCTGGCCCAAAGAAATCAGTTTTAGGGGCTGGAGTGACAGCACAGCGGATAGAGCGTTTGCCTTGCATGCAGCCGACCCGGGTTCGATTCCCAGCATCCCATATGGTTCCCTGAGCATCGCCAGGAGTTACCCCTAAGAATCACTGGGTGGGATGCAAAAAAAAAATCAGCTTTTCCAGGAGAGTGGAGAGAATGGTAGGCAGGTACATCAGGAGGAAGTTGGGAGCAATGGGTGGGCCATGGGGTGGGGGGGGGGCGGGGATTCTGCTGAGAATCGCCCAGGGCACATGCACCAGGGGGCACTTCCTTCGGGGGCCCAAGTGTCAGGCTTCCAGGAAGGACAGGGGATCCCCACAACTTGCTTTCCTTGGCTCCTGCCTAGAACGGTGTGGGGAGGGGGGAAGGGGGTCCCTAGAATCACTGCAAATGTGGCTCAGGAGACAAACCTCCCTCCACCCCCATCTCGGATTCTCTTTTTTTTTAACTATTTATTTATTGATTTTGCTTTTTGGGTCACAACCAGCGATGCACAGGGGTGACTCCTGGCTCTGCATTCAGAAGTCACCCCTGGCAGTACCCGGGGGACCCTATGGGATGCTGGGACTCAAACCCGGGTCGGCCTTGTGCAAGGCAAATGTCCTCCCCGCTGTGCTATCACTTCAACCCTGTCTCTATTCTTTTTTTTTTTTTTTTTTTTTTTTGCTTTTTGGGTCTCACCCGGCGATGCCCAGGGGTTACTCCTGGCTCTGCACTCAGGAATCACTCCCTGCGGTACCCGGGGGACCTATGGGATGCTGGGAATCGAACCCAGATCGGCCACGTGCAAGCCATATGCCCTCCCCTCTGTGCTATCGTTCCAGCATCACCATCTCGGATTCTCCAGCCCTGTGTTTACCCAGAAGGAAGAGGGAGATGGAGAGAGAGAGAGAGAGAGAGAGAGAGAGAGAGAGAGAGAGAGAGAGAGAGAGAGAAGCAAAGACAAATGAACTCGGGTATCTGTGCATTTACCAAGAATCCCAACTCCCACATCTCCCTCCCGTGCAGCTGGGATCCAAGCGGGCGCCCACCATCACCACATAATTCACAGCTCCCCAGAGGAGCAGACTCTGGGCAGGGGCTGGGCCCTCTCTGGGCGGCTACATCAGCCAGCGCCCAGTGCCACCCCGAACCAGACTGCAACCTACTCGGCTACCTTCTGTGGCCACAGCGCACTCCCACCTCTACTGATCCCACCAGGGTGCAGTTGGGGGGAGGGGGGGAGGGCAGCTGGTCCTGGCTTGAGAGATAGTGGGAGACGCAGAACCTCTCCCAGAGCAGGGGGCTGGCTCCAGTGCCGGGATGCCTTCACTTCCTCTCTGGCCCCACCAGGCCATGGTGTGGGCGGTTTGGAGGGCGACCCAGGAAATGCCCAGATTCCTCCCTTCTCCGGGGAGGCCAAGCCACCCTCCCCCCTCGAGACCCAAGCGGGAGCCAAGTGTCTGATAGGCATGCAGCCCCCCAGCCCGAAGAGCAACCCCTCCACTCTACCAGGACTCTCCCTGGGCCCCACCTCTGGCGTGCCCAGTCTACAGATGGGCACATCGAGGTCTGGACAAGCCCCGAAGGCGTGGCTTTGGGGCGGCACAGTGGGATGGGGGGGGGGGGTGCTGGTCCACTTCCCACTTCCAGATGTTCAGGGGAAACTTTCCCCCAAGTGCCCCAATCTCCATCGTGGGCCCTGGTAGTGGGCGCAAACCACTCTCTGGCGTGGCCATCTGATGCCTCATCCCTGGGCGGGTGCCCACGCCCACCCAACTGCCGACTCAGCGCCCCCCACCCCAGGCCAGGAAGCAGAGCCAGTGACCTCCATCCCCAACATCGCCCAACATCCACATCCTGGGGGCCCTGGGGGCCGTGCACAAAGGCGCAGAACCCCCAGCCTGACTCACTCCCTGTCCAGCTGGGGGGGGGGGAAGGTTGCGGGGGGCGGGGAAAGGGGAGCTGGGACCACCCCCCCACTGACGGGGATGGCCGGAAGGGGAGGGGGCACAGCCCAGCCCCAGCCAGGCTGAATGGCCCCTCAGTGGCCGGGAGCTGGGCACACAATGGGGCCCGCTGTTCCCCTCTGGCGGGTCGCCAAAGCACGGCGAGGGTCCCCAGCCATGCCTACGAGCCCCCCAGAAGAGGCGCAGTTTGCAGCAGGGCAGGGTTGGGTGGGGGGGGGAGCGGGAGGTGCCCCTGGCGCGGGTCACCTGTTGGATTCTGCCTGGCCACCCCGGGGGTCCAGAAACCGGCAAAGTGGGCGAGACACCTAGTGGCCCCCGGCTGGCGGGTTGGCAATGGGCACGCTGCAGTGGGTCTGAAGGTGGCGGCTCCTGCCCGTCCATCCTCCCCCCCAACTGCCCGGCCTCCCCTCACCCCTACTCCACCCCTGCTGGCCCCCGCCCCTGCCCTGGAGAACCGCCCCGCGGAAAAAAGCGGCGCCCTGCATGGGGCGCACAGGCACCAAGAACGTTAGGGGAGAGGGGGACGCCCCCAAAGGCGCGAAGAGGTGGCAACTTTCTGGGGGCTCCCCGAGCCTGGCCGCCCACCCCACCCCCGGGGCGGGAACCTCACTCACCGCTGGGTGTGGACGCCGGACCTCTCGCGCCTCTGGGGGGGCTATGCGCTCCCCGCGGGGCGGCCGCGGCAGCGGTGGGCGCCCCGGGCTCCCCGGGCGGGCAGCTGGGGGTGCATCGTTCCGGGGTGGGGACCCAGGGGGGTGGGCGCAAGGACTGGGCACTGGGGCTGAGCGCTGACGCGTCCCTGGGGCTCCCCGGGCCGCCGCCTTAGGAGCGGTGCAGGCGAGGCATCGCGGCCGGGGCCAGCGGCTCCTCCCGGGCCGGCCGCGGGCGCCCCAGCCCTCAGCCCCGCGCGCCCCGACCCGACACGCCGCGCCCGCCGCGCCCGCGTCCTCCTGCTGCTGCTCCTCCCTCCTCCTCCTCCTCCTGCTCCTCCTCCTCCTCCGAGGGGTCTGAGCGGGAGGCGGCTCCGGCTCCGGGCTCTCCTCGGCTCCCCTCCGGCCCGGCCCCCGCCGCCTCCCGCGCGCCCACGTGCACGGACCCGGGTATGCGCGCTCGGCTCGGCTCGGCCGGGCTGGGGGAGGAGTGGGGGAGGAGGAGGGGAGCGCCCAATGGAGCCCGCCAGCCAGGCCCCCCCCCCCCACACACACACACATACCCACTCCCAGGAGGCGCCCCTGCTGTTCTGGGAAGGCGGGTGTGCGCCCCTCCCTTTGCAAATCCGGGAGCGGGCGGCTCTTCCTGGGTTCAAGAGTCCAGTTCCCGAATGCCACCGAGGCCCTCTGGCCCTCTCCAGGGGAGATCGGGTCTCAGAAGCCAGCGGGTGAGGCCCGGTGTGCCCCCCCCACACACATACACACACACACACACACACACACACACACACACACACACACACACTTTGCAGATCCGAGAGACCCTCCTTCCAGCAAGACGAGAGTTGTCAGCAAGAGAGGGCTTACAAATCTGCAGGGAATTCCCCCCCCCCCCCTCCTGGTGCCACCCCCAGCTCAGCGCTCAGGAGCTGGCTAGCTCCGGCCCCAGGTCCCCCCCACCCACCCCAAGCAGGATCCGGGGTAGGGCCACAGCCTCCAGGGTTTGGCTCCAGGCCTCAGTGAGACTCCTTCCTGACTTGAGTAAGTAAGAAAACAAAAACAAACCCCCAAAAAAATCAAATCCATGTGCGAATTTTCTCACAAACACCCAATGACAAAAAAAAAAAAAAAGAAAAAAGAAAAAAATACAAGAATACAAGTTGGGTCTCAATTCTAAGGAGCAAGGCGACTGAAATAACGGGCTGGCCTAGGAGCCGGAGGGTAGGACAGATGGCGGCTAGGGTTCTGGGTAGGACCCCCCCCACACACACACACACCCTTCCCTCCGCCCAACACACACACACACATACACACACACATACCCCCTTCCCTCCCACCAGCAGGTACCATCTGCGGCACTGGAACTTCCCTCTGGACAGGCTAGGTGTGCCCCCCCCACAACCAACAAGGAATTCAAATTAAAATACGGGGGGTGGGGCTGGAGCAGTAACACAGTGGGTAGGGCATTTGCCTTGCAGGCGGCCAACCTAGGTTCGATCCCCAGCATCCCATATGGTCCCCCCACCCCCCCAGCACCGCCAGGAGTGATTCCTGAGTGCATGAGCCAGAAAGTAACCCTTGTGCATCGCTGGGTGTGACCCAAAAAGCAAAATAAAGAAAATAAGGGGGACACATCATAAGGTGCACCTCCTCCTGGTGACCTGGCCCAGGGTCCCACATTTTCTACGGGAGCTGGGGAGGCCACCTTGGCTGAAAGAGGAGCTCAGAGGAGATGGGTGTCCACCCCCACGTGGGGTGGGGCCAGCCTCCCATTGGTACACACCGTACACAGATGCCACCCAGCACCAGCCCAAGGGAAGAACCTTCTCTCTGGGGGGCTCCAGGAGAAAGAGGGGAAGGGGGGGAGGGAGAAAAGCAAAGGCCTGACTAATAAAGTCAGATCTATACTGAATGCTGAAGAGGCTCTGAGAAAGGGAGGGGGAGGGGGATAGGAGGAGGGGACGGAGGGAGGAGGAGCCCAAAGGGGAAAGGACCGTGGGGGAGGGTGCTTGCCTTGCATGAAGCCAGCTCCGGTTTGATCCCAGCCTCCCACTGGTTGGTCCCACAAGGAGCCCTACCAGGAAGTGAGCCCATAGTGCTGAGCCCGAGCATCACAGGGTGTGGCCCAAACACCAACACCCAAATAAATTAGGAGGCGGAACGTATTAGGGTGCTGGCACTGCACGGGGAGAAGGGGGTGCTGGGGTAGGGGAGAGGAAAGACCCAGCAGCCTTGGGGCTGATCCATATGGCGGGGGGGGGGGGGTGCTAGCGGGGGGGGGGGGGGCAGGAGAGGGAGGGGAAAGGGATTCTTGCAGGGTAGGCCAAGACAGGAAGTGACAGTAATGTAGATGGGTAGATAGGGAAGGGCCCGTGGCAATGACTTCCTGACACAGGAACTAAGGCCTGGTAAGGCTTCTCCTGGGACCAGCGACCCCCAGAGCGGGCTGGACACCCCAGGCAGGAACGAAGGCCCGGAAAGGAATCTCTGAGCGCACCATGGATCACTCCCAGCCCTACCCCCTTGGCAACCACCCTAGCAACGGACTCTTACCTAGGTAGAAGCCCCACTTGGGGCAGGTTTGAGAAACCCTATAAAAGGCACCTGGAACAAAGGACGGGCACGCAGATGCTGCCCAAGCCCATGTGCTGCATGTACCCATGTGGCCGAGCACGTGTTGCCCGAGTACATGTAGTGCCCGCATCTCCCCTCTGGACGTGTGTGCTGGGGCTCTCTTCATCTCCGGACAAACTCACATTCTCCTTTGGGCGCTTTAATCTCTCTCCCTTCGCTCTCCCTCCTTTCCCCTTCCTCAAAGCCTCCAAATAAAATCTGCTATTCCTTCACTGCTGGTCTCCTCCTGAAATTCCTTTCCGTGACACAGGACAAAGACCTGAAACCCCCGGGTGAGGCCTGGGACTGACTTTCCTTCCCTGCTAAGAGCAATTCCTCACTCGGGCCTGAGTCCATGGCTCCCCGGGTGATGGGCTGGTGGGGTTAATTGACTCTGACTCCTGTGCCGGGAAGACCAAGCGGGCATCAGGTGTGGCTTGACGGGCCCCAGGGATGGGGGAGGGGTGGATGTGGGCTCTGGCCAGTGCTGTGAAGGGGTTCATCACAGACTTCCCTGCTGGTCCCGGGTTGGCAGAGGCGGATTGGAAGACAGTGAGCGTCTCTCTCCTCTCCACCTCACATAGCCCACCAGTGGGGCCCCATCGACTTCAACAGGAACCCAGAGTTGTGGATAGCTGAGATAACGCCACCTCTAGTCCCCCAAAGCCTGTTTTGCAGGAGGAGCCTGGACTGCACCAAGGGCGTGAGGGCTGGCCCTCGGGTTCCCACCCCCGCCCCCCCCGCCCGTGCAAAGGCCAGGAGGTTGTCTGGACAGTGGTACAGAGGAAAGCAAAGCGGGGAGGGGCTGCACAAGGGGAGGCCCCCACCCCCACCCCAAGATGAGAGAAGCAAGCGGGGATTCTGCTTCTTAGTCAGGGTCCCGCGGGGGCACAGTCAGGGCAGCCAGCGGCTTCCCTGGGCAGCTCGTCAGAGCATCTGAAAGGGGGTCTTCCACCCCACATGGGCCCCACACACACACCAAGTCGCTGCCTCACATTCTCTCACTGTGCCTCTAAGCTAGCATTCTTCAGGGATATCTCTGATGTCCCGAGCATCCCTTTTTTATTTTTATTTTTTACTTTTTCAAAAGAAATGGGCTGGAATGATAGCAAAGTGGGTAGGTCGTTTGCCTTGTCCATGGCCGACCTGGGTTCGATCCCCAGCATCCCATAGGGTTCCCCCCCCCCACCCCGAGTACCATCGAAGTGATTGCCAAGTACAGAGTCAGAAGTAACTCCCGAGCATGGCCAGAGGTGCCCCCCCGCCGAAAGCCAAAAATAAATAAACTACATAAATAAAGAGACAAAGAACCTGGGTTTCTGTAGCACATCTCCAACATGTAATGACCAGGTCCTGCTCGTTTTTGGTCTTGAAATTCTGGCCAAGAAGACCGAGGGGTTGATTCCTCGGCCTGCTAGTGGGCTGTGATCTCTGGGCCCTGGGTGAGCTGTGACTGGCGTCATGTCTGACTCGGGTTTGGGGCCTGTGTGAGGCTGGATGTCCTCTGAAGGAAAGATGCAGATGTTTCTCTCTCGGAAATATAGGTCAGAAATGAGCAGCAGGGAAACCCTGGAGCCGACGCTCTATAAATAGTCCAGGAGGGGGCTGGCATGATACTACGGCGTTTGCCTCACGCGTGCCACTGCTGACCCAGGTTCAATCCCTGGCACCCCACAGGCTGCCTGAGCCTCTCCAGGAGTGATCCCTGAGCACCCGTAGGTGCAGCCCAACAGTCAAGAATAAACAAACAGTCCGGGGAGTCACTCACCCCGAAAGGCTCGTGTCAGGGGCTGGAATGATATCACAGCAGGTAAGGCATTTGCCTTGCATGTGGACAACTGGGGTTCGATTCCCAGCATCCCATAGGGTCCCCTGAGCATCTCCAGGAGTAATTCCTGAGTGCAGAGCCAGGAGCATTGCTGGGGGTGATCCAAAAAGGCAAAAAGAATTTAAAAGTAGGAGGCAACCAATCTTAGATGGAAGTATTTTTTTACAGATATAAATACAGATACATATATATATATATATATATATATATATAAGCACACAAGGCTCAAGTTTTAACAACATGTTAGTGATCTCTTATAGAAGGGCTTAATGGCCCATGGGTGACATACAACAATCTCCAGACTCTTTGCTCTAAGGAAATTTTTTGGGAGCATTTTCAGCAGTTTTTCATAACAAACAACACAAAATAAATTATTTCGGTTCTGCTTAGGGGCAGGGGTTGGGGTTCAGGATGGAAATATCCGAAATATGGTGGTGGGAAGGTGTCATGGTGGTGGGACTGGTGTTCGAATATTAAATGTAATCAAATATTGTGAACTACTTTATAATTAAGTATATATATATTTTAAAAGGGGCTGGAGCAATAGCATATCAGGT